TCAATCAGGATTCTTTCCTTCTATGGCTTCTTCGAATCCGTTGCAAAACAACCTCAGCAATGATGATCCGTCCAAATTATTGAATTTTCAAGCTCCGGCATTACCTGCATCGAATATGCAATTTAACAAAGCGAATCGGAACCAAGTCAACCAGTTGCCTTGGGCACCTATGACATGGCCCCAGCAGCAGCAACTCCAGCAGTTATTGCAAACTCCTATAAATCAGAATCAACAGAAGTTGCAGCGACAACAGCCACAGTTACATCTACAACAGCAGCCTCAGCCATCCCTACAGAAGCAACAGCACCAACACCAACAAAGACAACAGCCTCAACCTTCGCAGCAGCAGCAACAAAGACAACAGCCACAGAAGCCGCTGCAGCAGCAGCAGTTGCAACAACAATTTGTACCGGCTCAAGTACATAATGGCATCACTGCCACAGACCCGGCCCCAAATCAAAATTTGCATAAGCCAGGTGTTTTTTCTGAGATTCAGCAGCAGCAGCAACAACAATTACTGACAGGCAATAGCCAGTCAACTCAAACTATCCTTTCTGCTAATAAGATTTCGTATCCTTTGACATCTTTACCTCAAGAGACACAGATTCAGCAACAGATGGAACCACAACCTAAGCTCGTACACAGCCAACCGCAACAGAAACAATTGCAGCAAAGTCTGTCCTAGAGGACAGAACAGAAACCACAGATTCATCAACTGGCACAGCAGGGCCTCATCTCAGAGCAACAGCTTCAATTTCGACTATTACAGAAATTGCAGCAGCAACAGCAGTCGTCTCACCAATTACTCTCACCTACTGGATCACAGTTGCAATCTCCAATGATGCAGCAACAGCCCATGCGTCAACAAAGCCAACAATTGCAGCAGTTGCCTCTTTCTCAGAGTCCACAAACACTTGACACCAATGGCTTCTCAACATCAGTGCTCATGCAACCTCAACAGACTGTGGTGAGCCAACCCCCGAATCAGAACAAACCACTTATGGCGATGAGAACCCATTCTGCTTTTACAGATGGAGACGCTCCATCATGTTCAACCTCACCTTCGACCAATAATTGTCAGGTTTCACCATCAAGCTTTCTAAGCAGAAGTCAGCAAGTACTGCCTATATTGGTGACAGATCCAGTTGTTGAGCTATCAAGCACACTGGTTCAGGAGCTTCAGAGCAAGCCCGACATCCGAGTCAAACATGACCTACCTGCCTTTAAAGGTCCAGAACAATCAAAGTATAAAAATCACGTGCCGGGTCAATCAGAAGCATCCTCTTCCGGAGCATCATACTGCACCATCCAGAATAATTTCTCCCTGCCCACATTTCTGGAAGGCGATGTCCAATCACATCCTCAGAACAATCTTCCATTCACACCTAATATCGATATACTGGCACCCGACGCTTTGTTATCAAGGGAATATGACTCGCAAAAGGATCTTCAAAACCTGCTTTCTAATTATAGTGGCAATCCAATAGATATTGACACAGAGATGTCTTCTGCTGCAATAAGTCCTCAGTCGTTTAGCGTGCCAGACATACCGTTCAAGACTGGGTGTTCAAATGAAGTAGCCATAAATGATGCAGGAGTTTTAAATGGCGGATTGTGGGCCAACCAAACTCAACGTATGCGAACATATACAAAGGTATGTTACCTAATTATGGCAGTTTTATAGTTTTAGTAAGTTCCAATGTGTATAAGTTCTAAATGTTTGGTGCTGGTTTGAACTTGTGAAGGTGCAAAAGCGTGGCTCTGTCGGGAGATCAATCAACATAACCCGCTACAAAGGGTACGGTGAGCTCAGGCATGATCTAGCCCGCATGTTCGGTATCCAGGGACAGATGGGGGATCCACAAAGTTCCGAGTGGAAACTAGTTTATGTGTATCATGAAAATGACATATTACTTGTTGGTGATGACCCATGGGAGTAAGTGAAGAACCCCAATTTGAACTTTCAAATGTTCAAACTTTTGGTCTATTTATCCTCAACATTGAAACTTCTAATTCTTTGCAGAGAATTTTTAAGTTGTGTTCAGAGCATAAAAATACTGTCATCCACCGAAGTACAGCAGATGAGCTTGGATGGTGATCTTGGGAACAATGCAGTTCCGAATCAAGCTTGCAGCGAGATTTAGCGAAATGCATGGAGAGGACATTATGATGATACCTCAGCTGCCTCATTTAACAGGTAAAAGTCTCATAGGTGTTAAATTTTGAACCCTCTGCCATTAAATTTTGGCAGAAGGATCTTGTATAATATAACCTTATTTAGGGATAATCTGACATTATCAGCATCAAGTTTTGCTGATGTTGCTGCAGAAATGAATATATCTATTGCAATATTCATAAAGTAAACAGGAACAATGAAAATTCATTTCCGGGGACAAAATCCGATTTTATGCCCAATGGCAACTCAACCATAACAAATTGCAGTTGTAAGCCTCACAGCATACCTTATCAGAGACAACTAAGAAAGCACAGCCATTACATCAGATGCTCTGAGAGCGATATAATTAGTTCCATCATTGCCTTTGAAGTCATTCCCTGCATACTTCGAATATAAAACTGTGTTCCCCGCGGCAACAGATAGCGGCTTTCGGTTACCTTCCTCGTCCAAAGTACCAGGTCCAACAGCAATAACCTGTTTCATTTCGCTCGGGCATAAGTTGAAATATTTATTTTGCATTTTCTGGATTATAAACATACAACCTTTACTCACCGTGCCAATGGAAGGTTTTTCTTTGCTTGCCTCGGTCAACAACAAACCGCCAGCAGTTTTCTCCTCGGCTTCTGTTACCTGCAACAATCGACATTTAAAACACAACATTGAGTGTCCTTCGAAGATCGATCAACCACTGGCATCCACAAGTAAGGATCCCGATGACGCTACAATGAAATAGCAACCGAATTGATGAGCATAAAACCTTAATGAAAACTCTGTCATTTAGAGGCTTGAGGTCTTTAATGTCATCGGTTTCAAGAATCCCAACAATGTCATCCTCCTTCAAGATGAGATGACTCGAACCATTGAAATCGACCTCGGTTCCGGCATACTTTGAATATATAACCTGGGCACCAGCCTATACAAACATTGGATTTCGTAAGCAAACAACAATGCAACAAATAGAGAAAACAAATGGGAAGAATATCAGTTCCTCGAAAACCACCTTAACAGAGGTTTCCAATTTGGTCTTCCCAATTGTCTTCCCCTCACCAACGGCAACCACTTCACCTCCTTGAGGTTTCGATTGAGCCGTCGTCGGAAGCAAAATCCCGCCTTCGGTCTTCTCATCGGCTTCTTTGATCTTCACCAAAACTCTATCACCCAAGGGCTTAATCGAAGTGTACTAATATAAACCAATAAAACAATATCATATAAGCAAATCTAGCAACAAATTCCACTCAAATCCAATTCTTTTCATAATGTTCAAAGAAGCCAAAATATACCCATCAACAACAAAACAACAACAAAAATGAAACTGTGACAAGAACTACCTTAGGTGCAACAATGGCGGCTGCTTTTACAAAAAGACCCTTACAGGACCTTTGAGACAAAGACCCAGGCTTTAAAGTTCCAAAAGAAGAGAACTTCACAATTGAAGGCCTTAGCCCTTCAAAGGAAGCAAAGCTCCTCACTGATACTGTCATTGATGATGCTGTCAGCTGAGATGTGGCCATTGCTGCATTGAAATTTTCCCAGGAAACAAACAGCTTTCAACTCAAAAACCCATTTTTTTGTAAGTAAAAATAAATAAATAAAGGGTTTACTTTCAAGAGAAGGAAAGAACATACCTTTGAGAAAGATGGGGACTTTGAGCAGCCACTGAAGATGATAAGGGTTTGAAACCCTAGTGTGTTCTATTGGGTTTTAATTATTGATTAGAGACTTCTAGAATATTTGCCAATTTTCCAACGAGATTGATCACCACGCGCCTGAAACGTCGAGTTGAGCAGTTGGACTCCTACATGTCCTACCTGGATATATACAGATTGCCAGAGTGGAAAAAGGTCTGTTACGTCATATGAACATGTATTTTTAAACCTAAAACATATGTAGTTGATGCTCATGACGATGAACTTGATGATTTCCTTGTGACACTTGAGATCGGTGGTTGACTATGAAGTTCTACTTGATAACAAGACGTGGTCTTTAGTTGAGTTGCCTCCGAGGTCACAAACATGTTGGTTGTAATTGGTTACAGCGAATGAGACAGTAACTCGTTATATTGTTCGATCATGACATGTTCGTTAAACTCGGTTCATTTATAATCCTACGGCGGCTCTAGACAACGCTGTCATCCAACAGTCTTAAATAATATCATCTCAAGACACGAACAAAACTAACCACGTACAATACATGTAGAAAATCTAAAATGTAAAACAGTAGAAGCTGGCAATGGCAATAGAAGCATCCCATTAGTTAGTGGTAGTACATGTGCTACCAGTAAATACTACCCAGCAAGCAAATTGACACAAGAGACAAATTAAGTTTTGAGAAAAAAAAATGAAAGTTTAGGTACAACTGATAGTTTAGGTACTAAACGCGTTAAGTTTATAGCGACGGGTACTGGAATGAACAAAAACTAAACGTTAGGTGTGGTTTTACAAAAACTAAAAGTTTAGGTACTAAAACGGACCAAAACTGATAGTTTAGGTATTAAATGCATCATTTACCCTTTTAATCTAAACCACTTTTTAGTTTCAATATTTTATTGAGGTTTAATTATAATTTCAATCCTTTAATAATGTTAAACTTTGAATTTATTTTCTATATTTTAACTTAACGTAACTTGATTTATTGAAATATTATTAATTAATTCAAATTGTTAACACCGTTAATTATTTTTATTAATTTAATGAGTGTTTTAAATATTCAATTTACGTGTAAAAGGAATCCACGTAAGTACTTTAACAAAATTGAACCTACCAATAATATTATAAAAGTAGAATTTTAAAATACTACAGGGACCAAAATAATAATTTGGCCTTTCATTAAGCTGATGAAAATGTATAAACTACTAGATAATTTTCCCTACATAATTCTATGAATCAAAGCCCATGCATTTCTCCAATCTTGTTTCACCTTTGAGCTTCGATCCCGGAAAGAATGGCCGGCTGCCGGCGAGCTGATGTCTTGTCATATGTCATAATCTACATCGGTTACGTTCCGGGCTGCAGAACGTTTCACGAGTTGCCCCTCTTCGTTGTATATGTCGAGGTTTTCGCAAGGAACGGGGAAGATGGTGCCGATTACGCGGCCTTGAACAAAGCCACACTGGAATATGTGCTTCTTCTTATACGTTAACCCGACGGACATATCCCTAAACGTCACGTTTCTTATAGGAATATCTTTACTACCATGTATACGAACGGGAACACGGACTCCTTGACCGCGTATCCCTGTGAAGCTTATGTCCTTAACTATCGGGAGGGCTTTTGGGTTGAAATCACCATCAGGGTGCTCGTTGTAGTCTGTCTTCATAATGATTCCAACTCGGACATTATCGAATGTTAGATTTCGGTAGGTTATGTCTCTAATGTATCCACCTCTTCCAGCAGCAGTCTTGATTCGAACCGCACGGCGAGAACTCCAGACAAGGAGGTTCTCTACAGTGACATTGGATACCCCACCTGACATCTCACTGCCGATTGATATGCCAGCACTGTCGTATAGTTAAGCAAAGACAGAATTCAGTTAGTATCTTAACGTCGGTATGCAACGGTAAACATTCAAAAACACCAGTGTTCGACAGAACAGGAAGAAAACATGAATAGTTCAGATCTCGAAACTTCAAAGATTTGCCAGAGAACGCATTTGCATGAAAAGTTCGGAAAATATGTGATATGCATGCATGAATTCGACAAGCCGGCTTGGTCAGATGGTTAATGACATAAAATGTTCAGTAAGTTCAAGAAACTTCACCTAACCATAGAGCGTACAACGAGGTTTCGGACGAGAATGTTTCTTGAAGGTCGTTCGTAAGCTATGCCATATTGATCCCACCCACTCTTTATTGCAATTGCATCATCTCCAACGCTTATGTAGCAATCTTCGATTACTACATCCGTGCACGAATCTGTTTACAACAAACGGTTTTCAATTAGTCGCATTCCGAACGAATTAATCTTTCCTCTCAGCACAGATTTGAGCCAGCCAGTGTAACATAATGTTCGATCAAAGAGGCTTATACAACAAGAAATTTCATGTACGCGCTAGAAAACCCTCCGACCCATCTCGAACAAACCTTTCTAAACAACTACTCATAGCATGAATAAGAATCGTGCAGGGAGCCTTAGCTACTGTAAGATCTTATACTTACCAGGATCGATTCCATCGGTGTTTGGGGCTCCATATATAGGAGCCAGGATGGTAACGTTCCTGACTGTTACGTTCTTGCAATCATACGGATGAAAAGTCCAAAAGGGAGAATCGCGTAACGTTATATTAGCGATTACGATGTCACTAGACCACATAATCTGCACAAGTGGACCCCTGGTGTGGTCGAGTAGCTGTTGACGATACTTCTTCCACCATGATTGACCCTGTCCGTTTATGGTACCGTTATGCCCTGTTCAATTGTAGAAACAAGAGAAAAATCAGACTCCGTCAACAACGATAGCTCATTCAGAAGAAACTTATCAATGTTTGTTTATCATAATCATACAATGATTCCGGTAACGGAGAATCTGCTGTTAGTTCACCGTCATTCTTTTTACCAAATACCACACAGAGACTAGTAAATTCGGAATCGTAGAATACTTGTGAAGAAAACACCACCATTTGGGAAGAAAATATCAGGGAAATGACTTAAAAAACATATATTAGAGCTCACACGTAACTAACCGGTTATAACAACATCTTTGAGGTTTTGACCGTGGATTAAACTCCCATACCGAGATCCGTGATGCTCTCTTCCGTGCCCGTATGAGGGCAATGGAGGCATTAATGGCCATTGCTTCTCATCCTGTACATATCATAAATGAGAATATATCCACAACGCAATAGACACTCAAAATGTCATAAACATCCATAAGGTGAAACCACCAGAATCCAAAGCCTTAAATCGAAAAGGCCAAAAAACTAACCACAACGACGAAAAATTACTTAATGACTAAAACATAAACTAATATCACTATACTAGAAAAATGTGGAAGACGGAAATTGGAAAAATCGCTACGAGTTTTCCCGATTATATGGCTATCATATATGTTTACACTAATTATATAAGACCCCTCCATCACCATTCGAGCCTATGACAATTAACAATGTTAAACTACAAGCTTGAAAACTCAATCACTGTCTTTACCAATAATTCAATTTCATCGCCAAATTTACACACACTTATCGATCCATGAGCTCGACTAACTTCAGCGACGAGAGGTTACCTAATGACTATAACTTAAACTAACATATCATTATACTAGCATAATTTGGAAGATGGAAATTGGTGAAATCACTACGATTTCTCCCGATTATATGACCATCATACATGTTTACACTAACTATATAAGACCCCTCCATCACCATTCCCAACCTATGACAACTAACAATGTTCAACTACAAGTTTGAAAACTCAATCACTGTCTAGACCAATCATTTGATTTCATTGCCAAATTTACTCGCACTTATCGATCCATGAGCTCAATTAACTTCAACGACGAGAAATTACCTAATGACTAAAACATAAACTAACAGCATTATACTAGCACAATGTGGAAGATGAAAATCAGTAAAATCACTACAAGTTCTCCCGATTATATGACCGTCATACATGTTTACACTAATTATAAAAGGCCCCTCCGTCACCATTCACAACCTATGACAACGAACAATGTTAAACTACAAGTTTGAAAACTCGATCACTATCTTGACCAATCATTTGATTTCATCGCCAAATTTACACACTTACTGATCCATGAGCTCGATTAACTTCAACGACGAGAAATTACCTAATGACTCGAACATCATTATACTAGCAACATGTGGAAGATGAAAATCGGTAAAATCAGTATAAGTTCTCCCGATTATATGACCACTGTACATGTTTACACTAATTATATAAGAGTATAAGACCCCTCCATCACCATTCACAACCTCTGAGGCTATGACAGCTAACAATGTTAAACTACAAGTTTGAAAACTCGGTCGCTGTCTTGACTAATCATTCAATATCATTGCCAAATTTGAACACACTTATCGATCCATAAGCTCGACTAACATCAACTATGAGAAGTTACCCAATGACTAGAACATAAACTAGCATAATTTGGAAGTTAGAAATTGGTACAATGACTATGAATTCCCTTGATTATATGATCATCATACATGCTTACACTGATCATAAGACCCCAACATCACCATTCATAGCCAATAACAACTGAAAATGTGGAAATTTAAACATACTTAAGATTGCATGAATTCAACATAAAGGATAATTTCGAAAGACCAAACCTGGATACCAAGAATCTCAGCATCCTCAGCTAGGAACAAAGTCATACGACTAGTGAGATTAAACGGCGCCGTAAGCCACTTCCCAGGCGGCACATTGAGCTGCCCACCACCTCTCTCCCAAAGCTTCGAGATCACCGACACGGCGGTTTCAAACGCCTCCGTATTCACCGTCACCCCATCGCCTACACCGCCGAAATCGGTCAAATTAAACGCGAGAGCCCGCATCTTCGGCACGGGCCGACCGGACCACGGTTTCCCACTCAAGGAAAGCCCCGGCTCGACAACAACATTTCGTTGCCACAAAAAAAAGGAACAGAAAGCCACGATCCAGAGGACAGTAAGTAAATTCCGATGCGAAGAGATGAATGTCGCCACCCATCTCTTAAGCTCCACCCTTTTTCGCTGCAACTGAAACCTCCCGACCGGAAAAAATGGCTCCACCATTTTCATGAAACAAGATGGGTCTGGTTTTGCGACATGGACAAAGGATCTTCCTCTGTTACAAGCAAAAGGGTGTCCGTTTTTTTTAGAGATGATCTTTGTGGAGTAAAAACGCAAAAAGGAACCTTTTTTTAGAGATATCTTTGGGGTTTTTTTCTTTCTTTTTTTTTTGGTAAACTACATTAATTAAGTGATCAATGAAGTTAATATTACGATAAAGTATAGTAATGGTCACTGAACATTTTTGAAGCTTGCATTTAGGTCCTTTAATTTTTAAAAATTGCAATACAGTCCCCTAATATTTATTCTATTTGCAATATAGTCCTCCAACTTAAATCAATGTTAGAAAAATAGGGTAAATTATATAAACGGTCATTGAACTTTTCAGGCACTTGAATTTAGGTCCCCAACTTTTAAAACTTGCAAAACAGTCTCCTAATAATTTTATTTTCTTATTAAATATAGATGTATAGAAAATATAAATGATTCAATTTATATTTAAATGTATAAATCATTTATATTTTTGATATATTTTATTTTTCTTGTATAAACTAGTATTTAAAATATGTTTATATTTTAATCAAAATATTTCAATATACGAATAAAAATATATTTATATAAATGTATATTTATATTTAGATGTATAAATAAAAAATATATATATTCATATATTAATGTATGAATCATTTATATTTTTTGAATATTTTATTTTTAATAAGAAATTAAAATTATTAATTATATTAGAAATACTCAACTTAAGATTATATATATTAATCATGAATTATAAATATGAAAAATATAATTATTAAATTTAGTTTAAAAATATATAAATCTTAAATTTATTCTTTTAAAATATTGTATCAACTAATATTTAAAAAATATATTAAATCTATCAAATAATTTATCAAATATAATATTTTTTATTGTAAAAAAATATAATATTTTCCCATCATTTATTGCTTTCAAATTTTTTGCCGAAATTCAAATCTCATTATTTCCATTTTCCATTATATTCTTTTTTTTATGGCATTGGTCATACTATTAGTATATGTATTATTGTATATCTCTTAATACAAACGATGGTGTTAGCTTAGTGGCTCCACCCTGTATCTTTCATTTGCGTGACTCAGGTTTGAGTTTGCCCAAGACCCAAATTTTACTTCTTTGTAACTTAATTTTCTTCTAATTAGGTGGTGACATGTGTCACCAATAACATATATCATGATCATGTGTTAACACATGTCAGATCCTGGTTAAATGATTAATTTATTAAATTTTATTTAATTTAGGACCAAATTGATAGCATATATAAATAATTAGGTGGTGACATGTGTCACCAATGACACGTGTCATGATCATGTGCTAACACATGTCAGATCCTAATTAAATGATTAATTTATTAAATTCTATTTAATTTAGGACCAAATTGATTATATAAATAATAAAGACTGAATGTATAATAATGTCAATTCCTTTTAACTGCCACTTCATCATTTGTATCAATTGGTAACAACTAGTGGCTTAGTTGAAACAGTTAAATAATTATGTTGTATGATTGATAAATTTAAAAGATCGATGACAAAAGTAAAAAGGGCTAGATAGTTAAGTTGTCAACCTAGTAGTTTACACTTTTATTTATACGTCAAAATAACATTTTATAAATTTAAAATTTGAATTATTTTCAACCTCTTTTATATCCTAACTACTTTTTTTAATTAAAAAAATTTATTCAACAGATAAGAATTATACTATTATATTTATATAAAAAATACGTATCACATGAAATAAGATGAAATTAAATAATAATAAATCTGACATAATTGAATTTAATTGAATTATTTTGGAATTTAGGGTTTAGAATGAAATTGAATTACTTTGGAAATTGGGGTTTAGAATGAAATTGAGGACTGTTTTGCAAGTTTTAAAAGTTGGGGGACCTAAATTCAAGTGTCTTAAAAGTTCAATATCCTTTTATATAATTTACCTTAATTTCTAACGGTGGTTTAAGTTGGGGGACCATATTGCAAACGGAATAAATGTTGGGGGACTGTATTGCAAGTTTTAAAAGTTGAGGGACCTAAATGCAAGCTTCAGAAATGTTCAGTGACCATTACTATACTTTACCCTTAATATTATATGGAGTTTATTGTGGGACATATTTAATATACGATTAAATAAATGTGTTATTTATTTTATTATTATTTTTTTAATAAAATCGGTAAAAATTTATCTAAAACATTATTATTTCTATCTAAAATATTAATATTTTTTAATATTTTCGGTAAAGTGCCTAATAATAATAAAATCGATAGAAAAATAATAATATTTTAGATAACGCTTTACTAGATATGTTAACAAAACATGTAAAGCGCCCAATAATAATAAATAGATAAAAATAATAATATTTTAAGTAATTTTTATCGGTTTTGTTAAAAAAATAATAATAAATCTGATAGCGTATTTCTTTAACCGTATATTAAGGTTGCTGCTTATAGTTTTATAACAAGTGGATCATTTGATCTATTTTAATTTTCACTTAAAAATCAATTAAAAGGTACGAATTTAATCATTTGAGTGGTTAAAGGGTGATTGTTTTTCCTTAAAATCTCGAATTCGAGTTACTACATAGTATTTGAGCTTCGTTATTAAATAAATAATTGAGAATCTTTAAAATAAATACTATCATTGTAATTATGTAGATTAATAAAAAAAATCAATTAAAGGAACACTACTTACAAATAATTGAAATTATTTTAATAACATGGCAAATTATGAGTTTAGTATTTAAACTAATAATTTTGGTCCATTTTAATATCTAATTTTTTTATTTTTATTATATTTAAGATTTGGTTTCTTTTTTATTTTAGTATCTTCTTCAAAATTTAACGTTAAATTTTAGAGAGAAAAAATGAAAGTTTAGGTACTAAAATGGACTAAAATTGATAATTTAGGTATTAAGCATGATAAGCTTAACGAAAAGTATTAAAATTAAATGAAAAATAAACATTAGATATGATTTTAAAAAATTGAAAGTTTAGGTACTAAAATTGATAATTTACCTAAAAATATGATTAACTTTACAATATCAAATTATTTTTGAAAATTTAGATTTAAGGTTTTTTTAAAAGATATAGTCGGATTAAATCCGATTCAAGTTTAAAATAAATAATACTCAATTTGAGATAATAATATAATTTAAAGATAATTGTAAAAACATTGCTCTATATTTTTCAATCAAATCCCTAATTTACTTAATTATATATACATATATCAAATAATCGAATTTTTGTCGAAAATACATCATAGACCTTTTTTTTAATTCAATATGACCATCATTTTTTTCAATGTGACCATTTGACCAACGTTTTTTGTTGTTTGATGGTGCTGACGTGGAAACTTAAGTGTTGACGTGGTGTTTCACATACTGGCTTGACAATCCATTTGTCATGTTAAAGTTACTGATTTAGCCCGTCTACCACATTATCAACTATCGCGGACTGTCATGTCACACTGTAGACCATCATGTTAGCACCATAACGATCAACGACGAAAAATATTAGTTAAAATGTCACATTAAACTTATTTTTCAAGTTAAAGAATCACATTAAAAGAAAAAATAATACAAATATAATATTGATTTTTTTTTAAATACATGGATATATGATGTCTTTGTACCCAAATTTTTACTATCCTTGGACCTTGCCCAAACATTTATGAACCAGAACCAATACACAAAACTCCCCACCTTTACACGTGTAAACCAGTGATTGGCCACCTCAGACAACCTATCATCATTTTCCCCAAGCGTCTCCACATATTGTCCAACCAGATAAGAAGAAACTCCATAGGAACATATCTTTGTGTTCCGTCTCATCTCATGCACATGGCCTTATCCCTATCTTCCTCTGCATGCTCAACGTTATCGGTACTCCGATACCAGAATCGACCTCGAAGGTTACTTCTGGGGACGAGTAACAACATCGTTTCTAGGGAGAACCGACACGAATGCGACCGTACCCTCCACCTTATGTTCAACCTTATCCGTACTTTGTTACGGGGTTAGACCTCGATGGTTACTTCTGGGACGAGTCACGACATCGTTATGAGGGAGAACCGACATGAATGCGACGAAAGGAGGAGTGTCGAGTGTGTGTGTGTGTGAACCACTTCCTCCGGATAGGCCCTTGTGGTTCCCCGGTAGCTCTCCTCCCGAATGCTGGATGGCAGGTAAAGTATAGTATCCGTTACCATTAGTTGAGTTGATACACGTTCCATCATGGCATACGATTTGCCCTTTTTGTTGTAGCCTTCCCGGAGATTTTGGCTTCGACCCACTCGGATTAGGTATCTAACATAACCACTTTGTGAATTTTTTGTTTTTTAGGCAAAAAAAAATATCGCAGGTCCTTGTACTTTTAAAAATAATCAATGCGACCTTCGTATTATTTTTTCTTTCAATGTGACCCTCCAACTTGAAAAATAAATCCAATATTATCTTTTGACCAACGTTTTTCGTCGTTGATCGTTACGGTGCTGACGTGGTAATTCACAGTGATGATATGGCAATCCACGGTGCTGACGTGGCATTCCACAATGGTTGATGACATAGCAAATGGCCTAAATTAGTAACTCAAACATGACAAATAGACTACCACGTCAATACGGTGTACTACCACGTTAGTACCGTAACGGTCAACGACAAAAAATATTGATCAAAAGACCACATTAAATTTATTTTCTGAATTAGATGATCATATTGAGAGAGAGAAAATATGAGGGCATTGATTTTTTTTTTTCAAAAATACAAAGACCTGGATATCCTTTTGTCTTTTTATTTATTTATTTTTCATTGATGAAATGATGGTTCATGGTAGGGTTTGAAAGAATTTTACGTTATCAATGTGATTATATTTATTCCCTAACATAAAATCATTATTAGGTTTCGATCCGAAAACACTAAAATGGTTCGCACAAGCCGAGCTAATGCATGCGAGGTGGGCGATGCTAGCGGTGTCCGGTATCCTCATACCCGCACTCCTTGAATCGCTCGGTTTCATCGACAACTTCTCGTGGTTCGATGCCAGTGACCGAAACTACTTCACGGATCCCACGACCTTGTTTGTGGTTCAAATGGCACTGATGGGATGGGTCGAAGGCCGAAGGTGGGCCGACATGCTGAAGCCCGAGAGTGTCAACATCGACCCCAAACTTTCCAACAGGAAGAACCCGACTCCCGACGTCAGTTACCCCAGCGGATTATGGTTCGACCCGTTTATGTGGGGACAAGGGTCGCCGGAGCCGGTGATGGTGTTGAGGACTAAAGAGATTAAAAATGGCCGACTCGCTATGTTAGCGTTCGTCGGATTTTGCTTTTAAGCTGTGTACACCGGAGAAGACCCGATTGAGAACTTGTTGGCTCATGTTGTTGATCCTGGTCATTGCAATGTTTTCTCGGTAACGATTATCGATTTCGAATCGAATACGACATAATTTCAGTACGATTAAAACTCGAAATAATTTAAAATCAAAATAACTCGAATCTAAAATGATTTAAACTCGATTTAAAATTGACCCGGCTTATATGTGCTCGCAGGCTTTTGCAACACATTGATGTTCACTTGAGATTCGATTGCTGGCATTACAGGCAAATCAGCGGTATTGTTTGGTCAAATTGTTGTTCTAGTCCTTGTATTATACGCAACTTGATGATTTATCCTTTTACTTTGACAAAATTTAATGTTCTTACCAATATTCATGTTATGCGCTAAACCAGATCACTGATACAATTTACAAATTTTGTTTGTGTAAAATAAATCAGATATTCATGGTTAGACCAAAAAATATATTTGGTTTTCGTTTTCTTCAATTCCTTATATGTTGTCTAAAGTAAGGACTACTGTGAACAAAAAGTTCAAAGACCAAATTAAATATATATATCGAATTCAAGAAATAAAAGTTGTGTTTATGAGCTTGTGACTCAATTTCTGTTTGATCCAGGTTAAAAAGTTTAGGGTAAAGTATACAAATGGTCCTCCGACTATAAGATACTTCTTTATTGAATCCCTTGACTATTAAAAGTTACAAAATGATCCTCTGATTATAGGAAGTTGCTTTATTGAGTCCCTTGACTATTAAAAGTTATAAAATGGTCACTTGCCTATTCATTATGTTTGAAACTCGTCCTTTTCCATTAAAAGTTTAACGAACGCATGAGCTAAACGTTAACATGTTGACAGAGATATGATAATCATTTGAGATTATGAGATCAAATTTTATCATATCTCAACCAGCAGGTTAGCGTACAATTCAGACTACCATCAAAACTTTAATGAAAAAGGATGCGTTTGGAACATAAAGAATAATCGGGTGACCATTTTATGACTTTTAATAGTTGAGGAACTCAACAAAGCACCAGGTGACCATTTTGCGACTTTTAATTGTCAATGGACTCAAAAAGTAGTATCCTATAATTAAGGGATCTTTGTGAGACAAAATCTATATAATTTATTTATTTTTCTTATAACATGTTCTCATGTAATAATTTTGTCCGAACTTAACCAAAAACAGACATCAACGTTGTTTCCACCACCAGAATGTCTATTGTTAGAATGTCCACTAAAAGCCACCAACATAGCCAACCAAACTAAACAAACCTCACAACATAAACCCTTGCACATGATCGTCCCCCATAGCAAGGAGCTGCATCACCGGTATCGCTTTGAATCCGACCTTCTTTCGATCCCGTGTTCTAACTGTCCGGTTTCACCGATGTCCGCAGCTTTCGTTATCGGTTCACTTCTATCGACACTCGTCGCTTTTCTTTCGCTTTCCCCCACCCTTTGTTTCTCGCAATCCGATGCCGACTCCCTCCTTAAATTCAAGGACTCGTTGAAGAACAGAGATTCGAAGTTGAACAATTGGATCCCGGGATCGTCTCCTGGTCGCAAAAAATAGGATGGTGTTATGAGTCACCGTGGAGTTTTCTGTGGTCTTCATTTAACAAATTTTGGACTCGCGGGTTCAGTTAATGTAGAAGCTTTGATTAAACTTCGTCGTTTGAGGATTATCGGCCCGGTGAATAACACATTCACCGGGCTGATCCCGAGTTTAATAAACTCGGGGCTTTAAAGGCTATTTACTTATCCAAAAACAAGTTCACTGGCCCGATATCGGACGGTTATTTCGTTTCGATGCGGTCATTGAAGAAAGTGTGGCTGAATGAAAATAATTTCACTGGCAAAATCCCAAGCTCATTGATGCAACTACCCAACCTCGTGGAATTGCATTTAGAAGGGAATCATTTCTCCGGGGTAATCCCGGAGTTGATGTACCCGAACGTGACGAATTCGCTAAATTTATCTAGTAATAATCTGGACGGGAACATCCCGAAGAGTTTCTCGAAGTTCAACGCTTCGGCATTCGAAGGAAACGTCGGACTTTGCGGGACACAATTAAAGAGACGTTGTGTTCACCATTCTATTGCCGATAAATCGACTTCGCCTTCCACTGCCTCCATAATCGTCATCTCGGTAACTTTGGCGGCCATGTTCTTTTTCGTGATCGCCACCATTGCTTCAAATACGCAAGACGAAGGCGATGATTCGAGTGACCGAAATAGTTCTAGGGGATCTTCGAGGCATGTTCACGTCACACCAGGCTCGGCTCGACAAACATTACAAGAGTCAAGCGGGAAGAATAGTTTGAGCTTGAAGATCAAACGAGGATTGTCGCCAAGAGTAACAGCAAGAACGGGATGGATGATTTGACAATGGTGAATGGAGAAAAGGGTGTCTTCGGGTTGGAAGACTTGACGAGATATTGTGTGTTAGGCTCGGTGTATAAGGCCGAAATGGGAAACGGATTGGTCGTGGTGGTGAAGAGGATGAGGGAGATGACTAAGTTGGGGAAAGATGGATTCGGAGAGGAAATGAAACGATTCGGAGAATTCGAGCACCCGAATGTTTTGACGCCATTGGCATTCCATTATAGGAAAGAGGATAAGCTCATTGTTTCGGAATATATGCCTTGTGGTAGCTTGTCATACGCATTGCATGGTAACATCATCTTCATCTTTGGTAGCTTGTCTTACATTTTAAATATGTTCTACGTTAGATCGAACCGACATTTAAATACGATATTAACAACTCGTTTATAAGGCGAACAGGGATTGTTTCATGCTAGACTAAACTGGCAAAACCGTTTGAAGATCATCAAAGGAATTGCCAGAAGGCTCGATTACATCCACACACAGTTAGCAACCTACATTGTTCCCCATGGAAACCTCAAAAGGAGCAATATTCTTCTAACCCGAAACCCATGATCCATTGCTGAACGACTACGGCTTCCACCAGCTCATAAACTCCAACGACGTAGCGAAAGGATTGTTCGCTTACAGATCTCCAGAATGTCTTCAAAACCAACATGTCTCTCCTAAATCCGACTTCTATTGTCTCGGTATCGTCATCCTCGAGATCGTGACGGGCAAGTACCCTTCACTATATCTTAACAAAGTCGATGGTGGGATCGATATTGTGCAATGGGTGCAATCATCAATGTCGGAGAAACATGTCGGAGAGTTGATTGATCCCGGAATATTATCAAGCGGCCCAGCTTCAATCACTCAAATGGTCAAAATCATCGAAATCGGAGTTGCTTGTACTAAAAGTAATGAACGGCTAAATTTGAACAACGCTATTAGTGAGATTCAAGAGGTTAATTAAACTCTTTTGAGGCATAATCTCCTGTTTGATGCACATAAAAATTAGTTGAGATGGTGAATCTAGTTTTATTAGTTTGAGATTTTATCGAATTAAGTCGGGCAGAATGAAATTTGAGTCGAACAAATCTATTCGAACTAAAAAAATTTCAGTTGCATTTTAAACACGATAAAGCAAGTCCTATAAAATTTTCGTGGTATGAGGTCAACAAAACTGCCTCATGCTACGCATACTGCCTGCCTCATCAAGATCCTATCTCAAGAGGACCACATCTTCACAACATCGTCGGGACAAGAAATCGGTTGGGAACATAAAAGAACAGCTCCATTCATAGCAAAGGACATCAATACGGAACTTGGCATGTCGAGAAAAAGCTTGGAGCTCGATCGATGATACGAATTACCGGATGGACAATTCATAATATAGGAACATGCGGGTTTACGTGCCCTGAAATTTTGTTCGATCCAAGAAGGGTGGGAATGTTGTGCTTAGCGGGGGCACCACTTCACATGCCGGGCTGGCTGATAGGTTAGCTCATCGGCTCCTCTGGGAGTGGGGGTTAAGGTGTTTGCACCACCAGATAGGAAGGATAGTATTTGGGATCGTCAAGGCTCGGATATGGATTACTAAGGAAGAGTACATGGAATCTGGTTCATCTATTGTTCAGATGAAATGCTTTTGAGCAACAGAAAATACGGTTCTCACAGTTCTAAATTCTGTATTTCTTTATGCATCTTCGATCCTCGTAAAATCGAAAAGGAAATTTATATCTAATGATCATGAAACATAACTAAACATGTTACGAATATAATCGAAAGTGATAGTGCCATAACAAAATGCGGCGCCAAAGTAAATCTACAGCAATCTTGAACAGTTCTCTACTCAAATGAAATGTAAGATCCCAGAAAGGAAGTAGATAAACTTAAAATAAGGAGTAAAGACGTTTTCGGGTATAAATAGAACACTTCTAGAACCCTAAAACCCGTATTACACGTAGAGGAAATCATCTTACTTGCCTCTTAAGAGATGGGAAAAACGAACTTCCTCTCGCCAAGCTTTTTTAGCAGATATACAAGGTCTTCAGAATGGTTGAGAACTTTTACCCCTTCTTTTAACTTCCTCCTCCAATAACAGATATAATGCAAGAATCTTTCATGCTATCCCACCGTTGTTACAATTTTTGGGTCAAAATCGCACTAATATTTGCGAACATAGCATGAAACTCTATCGAACTGGCGGGATCCATTAATCGAAATCAAGAAACTCCATTCTTTTTCTCATGGAGCCCTTCAGATCTGTTGCTTCCCTTTCAGCTTTCTGAGCCTGGAAAAGGGTAAAGAAGCGAGTTATTCATATAGTAGAGGTAAATATTTAATGAAATCAATTAAGACTCGGTTAACACAACGGGGAGCTATGTGCATCTTGTTCGAAGTCTTTTATTAATCATCTCGAAATATCAAATTAATGCAGCTTTCTTAGCCAAATCTAGATGAAAAAGTAGGCATATACCGCAAGTAGCTAAATCTAGATGGGTTCTGTTGTATATATACATGAAACACGCACGAAAACATGCAATGAAATAAGAATCATGACAATGCCTTTACCCTTTTTATCTCAGCTTCCGACACAGCAGTCATATGTGGCGGAAGCTCCTCCTTTTCCAAGTCCTGTATAGCGAGTACCATTTCATAAGAAGAAATAACAACGTAAAACATTCCGCATTCAAACAAAAGAAAAAGGGTGTAAAAAGGATTGCAGGCATACCAGCTCTCCTATTAAGACAACATTCTCCCCACGGATTACATAGAGACCTAACGGGACATCACAGTACAAATTGCCAACAATAACCCGTTCGCAAGCTCCTTCTAGAACAACATTAGCTGTGGATGTTGGAGGATATAACATCAATGATCATAATTCAGCACACAATGAAACAATGAAAGCAGAAAAGAACTTAGGCAAGGAAAAATATGGTGACAAAATACCGAATTGATCAAAAGAACGTAGTAATCCCAAAAGCTTCCGGCCATCTCTCAGCAAGACAAGGAGTTTCTCTGCAAAATAGACAGCAAACATTAAATATTTATATCACAAGACAACTTTTCCGGCAAACGAATTACAGAAAATTTATCGTTACAACTTACAATATAACAGGACACCCTCTAGGACACAAAAATAAAAATGATGGGAGCTAAATAACTGCAATAAAAAGCATTCAATGATTCCGGTAATATAGACAACAGGGCTAGATGCATAGTTCATGCTAATAAACTTTATCTCCAAGACACGGTACGTAAGAGATTAGCATGATTCAACTACAAAAATATATTTAGCATAAATTTTTTATTGTGACAAGGCATGGCCAAATTTCAGCCAATGTATCAAGATCGTAACTTTCACTCTATGTTCTGCAACCAATTTAAACACGAAATTTTATGAAATCCACGCTGAGGACTTGTGCATCCTCAATGTCTTTCTCACAAAATCAATCGAAGAGCCTCTAAAGATTGGAAAATTAACCAACATCGGTAAGGAGATCGATGCCCCTTAAACAAGGTCTTGAATTCCAGCTTTGTGGGTGGAAAAATAGTGCTGGGAATGCTTTCCTCCCAAAATGAGGTCCCCGAACCCAACGCCGGACTTAGTAAGGGGACGCTTCCAGCTACGGGACACCAGGGTCTCAGACCAAAACAAAATTTGTGAAACAAACTAAAGAAGCCTCTTTTCATCTAACACTGCCTATCTTCCAATCCAACAAGAAACAAATTGGACATGCAATACAATAACAGCCAGGGATTTAAATAGTGGTGTCCACTATCGGAATAGTGGCTACAATACAGCGGTAAGGTTGTCCTCTGAATCCATTATTGCATGACCTTGATACACGCAATGACCACAATAACATTTGTTATATCCACAACCACCATAATCGCAAATGCAAACAAAAACACCGCTGTAACCACGATTTAAATCCCTGATAACAGTTGCTCCCAATTCTTACAGAAAATCGAAATGACTAAAAACAAACAAGCAAACCAAGAACTTGAAAAGAACCCAATACGGTATACAAACAGGAATCAACTGAATCAAACAGTATCATAAGACCCAAATCAAAGCAAAACTGAGAAAATTCAAAAGATTGCAAACAAAAAAGGAATTCCAATTGCATTGGCTTATCTACAAGGAAAAAGAGAGATTACTGTCGAGATAAGTTGCAAGAGAAGTGGAGAGAAAGATATCATCAGGGCCAGCCCAAGACATTGAAAATCAGTCCTCTTTCAAAACTTTTTAATCACAATTCTAAACAAATGGCATTGGCTTCCCAAACAAACCCAAAAATCAAATATTTTCAAAGTTGATCTCCCAAAAAGGATACACCCAGAAGAGATCAGCACCAAAGATATAAAAACCCTAAATTTATTGACCAAATTATAGGGAGATTTTATGAGGAAAAGGAGAGAGTTTCGCTTTAGGTTAAAAAGCATAAAGCTTTGGTGGATCAATCATTCACCCTTTTTTGCCTAAATTATTTTATGAATCATTCACCCTTTTGACTTTCGGATAACTAAATAAAATAATATATTGTTGATTTTTCTATTGCTTTAATACAAATTTTTAGTGTCTAAAATATATTTTAAAATACGATTATATGTTTAAAGATTTTTTTTTTTGTTAATAATATATGTTTATATTTTTTCGTTAAATTTTTAAGTGTCTACGGTTATATTTTAATAATAAAAATATTATTTGAAAAAAAATTAAAAAAATTGAACCCATGTGTTGTCTCTTCCCCTTCCATCCCTCACTGTCGAGGGCGAAAGATCATCATTGGTCGGGTTTTATTTGGGAGCAGGATAAGGAATTCAACAGTGACAGCCGAGTAATGTATGGACGATTGTAGTCGTCAAAATCGTCAGAAAATAATAATGAAAAAATTAGAAATCCAACAACCCTGTTGACGTTTTTCACAAAGATCGGCGTAGTTTCATAGTGGGTGAGGGAATGAGTTTTGGTAGTGGCGGTGAGACGGTTTTGATGGTGTCAACAGTGACGGTCACATATCGACGGTGACTGATCAATGGCGGAAGATGTAAAATTTAGGGGTTGATTTTTTTTAAATATAATATTAAGTTTATTAAATAAAATAATTTTTAAAATTTTATATGCATGAAACGTGTCAAATAATAGTCAAATTTAACGGTCGTGACAGTCCAAACACCTAAAAATATAACGTTAGAAATATTAACCACCTATTGTTGTTAGTAAATAACTCATTAAACATCAAATCGTATTTTGAGATAAATTTAGGCACTAAAATTATATTAAACAATTCTTACTTTGTTTAAAAAATAAAAATTAAAACAAATTATGATGGGATGAGACTTTAATTTTAGGGTTAACTACACGGATAATCCTTATATTTTTTTACCCGTAAGAAAATAATTTTAATATTTTATATTATTGATTCGTTCGATTTTAGTCTCTCGATTATTAATTTCCTTAACCCGTTAACAAAACTCTGAGTTGATAATTAAAATTTAAAAAATATATATATATCCACATGTTTTGCTTTATTTTTGTCTTAAATTATAACGGTATATACTGAATGGTCCAAACCGAGGTAAATAAAATATAATATAATTTTTATAAACTATAAACACCTATATACAACAATAAATTCAAAGTTTATCGATATTTAATTTATTAATCGATTAATTCGAATTGAGTATCGTATAGACACTATTGCCCATCTTGTGCACAACAGCACAATGTGCAACATTCCAGGCAACCGATGAATGCCAAAGCAGTGAATATTTGTGTCAACAAAATGGCACACTGATCATTCATCTTCGAACAACATTGGATGCAGCACAGGCAACAGCAGCGCTCGCACGTCCGGCCGCAGCAATCCGAAGTCGCCTTCATGAAAGCTTCCGCGGCGTCCGGCAGTTTTGGTTCTTCCGCTCCCGGACGCATGTTTTCGGCGGTTGCGGTCAGGTCGCCGAAGCCAACCGAAAGCCTCCGAAGCAGTACCTTCTTGGGCGCTCCGGGATCCCTGATCTTGTGCGGATCGCCTTTCTTTACCTGCATTCAAAAAACTTTCATGAGGTCGTCGACCTCGGCAACTAGGCAACATTCGAAAAGGAAGCCCCGACAAGAATTGGTTGGACATATATGCTAGATAATGAGGCAAAAGGTATACCTTTAGAGCTCCAGACGATTCATTTGCTTTGTCCAGTTTATTTTTCTCGAGTAGGACCATTCGAGTATACTCCGAGATATTGCAAGTCTCGATGCTCAATTGTGCAACCTGCCATTAACATACCGGTAACTTCAACAAAGGTATTTACGGATATGAAACATGGAGTTGTCTGAATGCTGTACACATACCTTCTGCTCGAGCTGTTTATCTTCCGACAACCATGCTCGAGCCGTGAGTAGATCGATCTGCTGCCGTGCTAACACCTGTATAAGCAAGGGAAATCGTGAGAAGTTAAGAGGCAATGAAGTGAAAACGAGTATTTCTCGGACTTTCTGTGCAGCGAAAACCGAGTAGGAGCCTTACTCTGTCAAGAGGAACGTCGGTATTCCTTACAACCTTCAAGTCCGTGACAAAGTTACTCAAATCCCCTAAGATACCGTTAGCTTTGACCGTGTCAGGGAAACTTCCTTCGTACCTACCGCATATCGTTAACGGGTCTTCGAAGGAAAGGTCGGGAATGCATGAAGAGTACACCTATACACAGAAGGAAACCAAATAAAGTCGGTCAGCGAGAAGAACCTACGGTAAGACGCTGGATGATCACTACCTAGACAGTAAAAACATGAATGAATCCCGATATGCATCACTGTGAGGCATCAATGGACGACTAAGATGATACGGACTTAAAAACGTACCTCTATTTGTTCGTTACCATCGAATGCATCGATGGTTATATCGGCAAGAACGGTAGACAAAGCTTTGCTAAATAACTTTTGCATCTGAACCTCAATTAAATCTGAAAAGAATCAGGAAGGAAAATAGTAAGACTAATGGTTTAGGACACAAACGTTCACATATCCTTATAATAAGAGAGTTATAGGGAAAAATCGAGCAATGCATCAAATTTTCATTATATAGCACGATTGTTTAGCACGGGATATGGACGTAACGTCAAAGCATATACGGACCTAGATCACAAGTAGCATCGAAATCTCCCCGGCCGATCATGGCAAGCATGCGCAGGAAATAGTGATTACAGAATGAACCTGCAATATTTCCACAGGGGAAGGTGATTGGAAGTTGCGATTTACGCAATATAGGAGGATCAAAGGCCGGAGATATTACCTATGCCAAAAGTATATATGCGCGGAGACGGTGATCCTCCGTTTGTCAAACGTTTTTTCATCGAGTCACAAATGTTTCTCTCATCTTCAACAGCCCCATCGGTGATAAGAAAAATCATAGGAACCGAACCACTAGTGTCCGATAGCATCTCGGATGCCTAGCAGATAAACCACAAGTTAATAACACACAATTCTCTTGAAGAAACGAGGAAAACACGAGAAAGAAATGAGTATGCACCTTTTCCAGTGGAATCGACATAGCCGTACCTTCACCCATTGTAGATTTCGTGCTCATCCATGTAGTGGCCCGTTCAATCGCTTCGTCAGAAGCCAACTCCATGGAAGTTGAAAATAGAGAAGTTTCACTACTAAAAGCGATAATGTTAAATGAATCTTCTGGACCGAGTTTCGACAGGGCAGAAGATATTGCAATCTTGGTAGCCTCGAGTGGCTTCCCTTGCATGCTGTCACTTAGGTCGACTACGAATACGACCGCCTTTTGAACACCTATCGAATTCAACGAAATGAGAACCGATACAAAAATGAAAAAACGAATCGAAATAGCATAGCAGGTTGAACAAATGCTAGACCAACCTTCCTACTCTTCTGACTTCCAGGTAAAATATAAACACAAAACATATCCCTTTGGTCACAATCATACAAAGGCGGAGATTGCAAAAGGACGCTTCCGAATAAGTTACCGGACGAGACCTATAAAAACACGCACTCGATATGCAAATAAGTATCCCGATCACAGAGACTTGGCGCGCAAGTAAGTTAAGCTTCATTCTTACACTATAAGAGAAACTGAAATCAGTATTAGACCAAGTGAGAACTTCTGCTTCATACAAGAACGAAAACTTCTTGGCCTGCCGTTTCGTTTCCTGCGAAAAATCGGGGGTTTAGCAAGAACAGAACGGAACAAAACAAAGATTCTGAACCAAAATATGCACCTTCAAAGGATGACTAGTTGCCTTGCACAAGACTCCAGCTGCAATACCAGAGTTGACATTCAACTGAATCCGTTCTTTCTTCGAAATCTTCCTTACAGCCGGTGTAACGTATTCAGGAAATCGAAAGGGAACGGTTAAGGAAAACTGGCCCTGATCGTACAACAATTTCTGAGACCAACGAAGCTTGATTCCGATATTAGTACCACCATCAACCTATGAACATAAAAACAGAAACATTCATCAGAAACAATGGACTAACAGAATCGAATAAGAATCGATAAACTCCGAAACATCGATGCACCTGTGGTATTGTTAAAGTAAATATGTGTGGCTTCAAAAAGCCTGCATCTTGTGGTCTTGCTAACTTTTCAATAACCCTACTTTCTTCTTCTCCGATCAGTTCAGTCGAATACGATTTCCCGGGAAGATCAACCGCCACCCCTAGTATCGAACCCTGTTGGCGAAATGGTACACACATTATTGCTTTGAAACCATGAATAAGCATAAAAACAACAAGATTTTGCAGAATCAAATAGTAAAAACAGCTTCTTAAGCTAGGGGTGAACAAAACTCGATTCTACCGAAAAAGAATAACTTCTTTTCTAAGTTCGAGTTATTTAAGTTGAATTACTCTAGTTCTTCGAGTCAACTCGAATTTTAATTTATTTTTTCGAGCTCGGATTTCCCAATTTGAAAAAACAAAAATCCAAATTTGATAGTTTTACAATTTAGTCATTCATTACTTTATTTCTTTAATTCCTCTTCATTTTATAACCATTCTTCACCAAACTTATCATAGTAGAATACATATGTAGCTTCAATTCTTCTTTTTTGAATTTTTTTAACTTTTCAATTTAATCCTTCAACTTTACATGATTTTTTATTTTCTTCAATTACTCCTTTGTTTTAAATTCATTTTGTATCAAATTTAAACCATATGTTACATATGTAAATTCAATTACTATAATTAACAACAAATTTAATCTTTTTGCAATTTAATCCTATATCTATTTTATTCGATTCAGTTCGAATTTCATAAATTTGATTTATCTCGTAAACTCTATTAGTTCGTATTTTTGACTCGACTTGATCAAATAATCAAGCCTATCTTGAGCTGAAAAGTGAGAGCTTGAAGCTAAGAACAAACCTGGTTTCCCATGGGGACAGCAATCCGACAATCACAAGAACGGCTACCCATGACGCAATGGACCCTCAATTTACCGGAGACCTGAACGAAAGCCGTATCTCCATAACAATCAACTTCGAGATCGACGCCGCTCATCTGGAGAGGAATCAAAGCCGGCGGATCGCACCGGCCGTGGACATGAGGCTGGTAACTCGGCATATCCGGGTTGTCCACCATCCTCGGGTCGGATATAACCGCGTAAACCATAGGAGCAGACGGCAAGTACCAATCGGATAAAAACTGCAAAGGCGGCGGCGCCGTCGTCACTGCTCTGTCTTTACCTAAGTATACCCGTTTTGCTAGCTTAAGCCCGTCTTCCACCGCCCTTGCAAAGTCTTCCGCCATTGTCAAACACCAAAACCAAAACAGAAACAGAAACAAAAACCTCTTATTTTTGCGGAGGTTACTTGAAGAAATCGAATTTGGGGGAGATGGGGTTTACTTCAAAGATGGGATCTTTGCTTTCTTTCACAGCAAAATGGAGTTTAGCATCAGATTCGTTTCGCTGTACCTGTTCTTCTCTATTAAGAAAACAAAGCAGTGGGCTTTGTTAAATCAACAATAAATTATTAGTTTGTGCGCCGTTGAGAACGAAGGTGATGCACACGTGGCGGAATGTAATTGGGTAGAAAGTGGATATACGATGGTGAACGGACGAGAAGCACAAGATGCTAAGTCTCCCAACTCTTAACGGTTAGTTTCCTTGCTTATTTTATTATTTTTATTTGGGTCCAATTATGACTTTAGTCCCTATATTATACTCCAATTTAAGAATAAGACGATAATTATGTATGGTGTGGGTCAAACACGAAGACTTAATAAAATTTTAAAGTATATTAATTTATTAAAATTTTAAAAATAAGATAATATTAGACATGGCATTGTTTAAGTCAACAAGATAATATTAGTATATGATATATTTTAAAGTATATTAATTTATAAAAATTTTAAAAATAAGATAATATTAGACATGGCATTGTTTAAGGCAATAAGATAATATTAGTATGTGATTTTATATTTTAAAGTATATTAATTTATTAAAATTTTAAAAAAAAATAATCCAGTCGTTTAAACACTTTTACGTCAGAATTTCATAATCTGAATAAAAGAAACTAATATTTAAATGGTCAAATTATAATAAATTAGTAACATAGTTAACCGAGATGTAATTTTTCAATTTTAATTATCAAAAGTGAAAAAAATAAAAACAGAAGTTGTCAAATTTATTAATAAAAATATAAGAATTAAATGTAAAATTTGAAAATAGTATAAAGGTCAAAAGCATAATTTGACCATTATTGTTTTGGGCTAATTCGTGCCACGTGTATTTACACCCTTCATTACCAGCAAGTCGGCAAATTTCTTGTAATATAATATATTCTTTTAAATATTCAATAAATGTCAAATGATTTTTTAAAAGTAATTGAAAATTTTAATATATAAATATAAACATTTTTTAAAGAAATGTGCTTTTAGAGTAAAGTACACAAATGGTCCCTTGAATATAGGGTACTATTTTGTTAAGTCCTCTGATTATTAAAAGTTATAAAATAGCCCTTTACTATAGGATATTATTTTGTTGAGTCCCTTGACTATTAAAAGTTATAAAGTGGTCACCTGACTATTCATATGTTCTAAATTAGTCACTTTTCATTAAAAAATTAATCTTCGTCTGAGGTGGACATTAACATGTTGACTGGGATATGATAATCGTTTAAGATTCTGTGATCAGATTTTATCATATCTCAGTCAGCATATTAACGTCCTACTCATATTGCAATCAAATTTTTAACCAAAAAAAGATGAGTTTGAAATATATGAATAGTCGAGTGACTATTTTATAACTTTTAATAGTTGACGTACTCAATAAAACAACAACCTATAATTAAGGGATCGTTTTATAACTTTTAATAGTTAGAAAAATCAACAAAACAACTTGATATAATCGAAAAACCATTGTATACATAACCCTAGATTTTATGGGTGATTGAACGAGGATGAAAATAAAAATTAACCCGCCTTGAGTGATAAAACAGACATGATCTTATACTAATTTCATCCCCGCATGTCATCATCTCGCCCATCCATAATATATAATAAATTTAAGGATAAATTACGTGTTTAATACATAAACTATCAATTTTAATCCGTTTTAGTATCTAAACTTTCAATTTTTTCAATACCATACATAAACTTTAGTTTTTATTTTATTTTGATGTTCTCATTCAAAATTCAAAATTTAAGTTTTAAAAACTTTTGAAAGTTTAGGTATTAAAATGAACCAAAATTAATAATTTAGGTATTAAACATATAATTTACCCTAAATTTAATTCAAAAATAGACATTTGATTTTTTTCTAATTTTAATAGCATTCAACTTATATTCACTACTATTTAAAAAAAAATACAAGAACTCCAACACTATTCTCCCTTCCGTCATCGACGGCTGCAAATGTACTCATTTTCCGGCCAACTTCTGTTCAGCAGCCTACTCCGGCAATGTTCCGAAAAGTATAAATATATAAAATGTTATGGCACACACTAAGCTAAAGCTCTAGATACTACACCTATTTTTAAGTATACTAGCCACCGAAATTTAGTGGTTTGATAACAATAAGAGGGAGCCGGTTCGACTTGGGAGAAGCCGTTAAAATGCCGCCGCCGAGAGTATGTCTGAACGATGATAGGAGAAGCTAACACATTTGTGTCTCGGAGCATTGAAGCAAAGAACAATTCGAAACTAAATCAATGCGAAGAGGATTTCATTCCATGTGTCGGGGACACCGGGCAAACACCAATGCAGGCAGTCCTGGACTCCAGGCGATGCCGTAAGACTGAACCGAGATATGTGACCCTCGTCCCTGACCTGAGACAATGCTGTTATGTCGAGAAGTTTAATCCCTGTGCCCCTCACGGCGCCGGCAGCACCATGATCGCTAGACTCGTCTTGTAATACCTCTTTCCCTATAGACATAGGAGTAGTATTGTTACAGCTCCCCCCGGTGTTCCAATCTCCGTTTACAAAGTGCCTCGGGGAGATGCTCCGATAAAAGGCTTTCAGATGAGGATGTTTCGGAAGTTGAGAGTTCAGCCATTTAATTGTGCTGTGGATTGTGAAGTTCTTGGCACTTCCCATATCGGCTATCTTCCTGTTGGTATTAGACTCGCCCCCAACGTACATGATCCACTTGTTGGCCCTAAGTTTCCCTCGATTCCAATGATGCCCCGAGTTTAGAACCAAGACATCGATTCTGTGGAGAAAATCGCGCAGAAACGCTGGAGGTCGATCGAGATGCATTGCATATTCTGTCTGTGGATCCTTGGGGTTAAGAGGCTCCAAATCACAGAGAGTTGAAGACCAATAGTAAAGGACAGTAGTATTGGTGCTGGGAAATCGGTAAGCCCAACCATTAGGACGTTTACCACCCAGTGGTATGACAAGTCCAAACTCCGGGCCAACATCGAGGACATCCGGGCTTTCTTTACCAGCTGTGATCATGCACATTAGAGACTGGAACTGCTGCCTACCCAATGAATCTCCAACAAAAGCTAGAGTTCTGTTTTGCATCCTTTAATGCATCACAAGCACATGTAAATGTCCAATAGATATTGATTATCGGGAAGAGGAAGGGAGTGCATTTATAAAGGAAAATGATTAAGATCGAGCACGAAGGACTAACTAAAATAATCGATATTTAAAGGGCAAATATTCAAGGAAAAGGATACTATTACCTTTTTAAGAACTTAGACCCTTCAAACTCTTCCAATTCACAATCTTTTGGTTGCCATCTTAGATTCTCAAAGGCAAAATCTTGACGCTGCATCATACGACAAGCCCACATTGGTGCTAGCCACTGTTTACAACCAAGCCCGGAATACAAAGGCCGTCTATCGTCTATAACCCATTTCCCTTTTGTGTAATCACAGGCTGAAAAAAAATATACGAGAAAATGAGAGGCAGTAATCATGTGGTAATCATTTACTGATCGGTAATATTATCACAACATTGAACAAATTCAAAAGAGAGGGAGCATGAACATCATAACCAAAGGCATCTTGCATATTACCAACTAACCCACTAGGAAATGACTAAATGTTTGATATTACATCCATGTAATCGAATGCAAAACCTATGCGAGAGATTCAGAAGAGGCAGTAAAAACAGTGTTCATAACTCTTTGCTGAGGTATCCATCAATAGCTTAAAAGACCTCGATCAACAAAACTGATCAGACATGGTCTTATTAATCATGTCGATGAATGCAATTCCTCCCCAAGCATAATTTGTATATAACAACAGAACTATCGGCAGATTTTCTTCTCTGTAATTTCGGAATGTAAACTTGTATATAGTGACAAACATGCAAAACAAAAAGAATACATATCACGCATAGGCAATATTCTACCTTGACGCTCCACCGTTTTTGCTTCTTGTTCTGAAGTCCTTTCTCTTAAAACTACACTGTTTGTTTCCTCCATCAGTGTTGAGGCTGATCCACTTCCAATAGAACCAGTTTTCTGCCTTTTGGGACTGCCTTTGTGTTTTGCTGCTTCCTCTTCTGCACCATCATAACAAATTACAATGGGATATTGGGAACCCCAAAATTACCATAAGTGTAAACAGAAGAAACTGACTGCGGCAAGATCCTAATAATATTCATTGTAAAACAAGGAAAAGTGTGCTGGAGGGCATAGAACCAGTTAGCATAGTGAAAACATTAGAACTTAAGAAAAAAGAACAGAAAATCTTGCTCTAATCATTCATGACTTCACAAGTGGACAGATATGCAGCAGGAATTCAACAGATCTTCTATGGTAAAGAAATTGTTTAATCTATCCATGCAAATACTCATCTATGAAAAATATATACCATTGACATTGGCAATTATAAGCCTCAAACATCAACTTACGAGAAAAAACTTATAACCATGATAGAAGTTATTCTAAACAAGATTTAGCAAAACAAGTTATTGTAAAAGACTAGCAACTGCAATATTATAAAATTTTGATCCTAATTCTCGAGACAGATAAAGAAGCAAATCACCTTTCTTCGGTAAAGGAACAGTTTCAAAGTCTGAATAACTTTTGGAAGTACCAGTAGAATCTGGCTTATCCAAATGATGTTCACGTTTGTTATTTATGGCTTCACTCTGTGTCAATGTAGAAATATCTTCTTTCACGTGTCTTTTGGGATCTACTGGTACTGTTTGAATATCTGCGCCAGATATTAGGAGAGTAAGGGAAGCTACTGTGAGCGTGTAAGAGGCAGTATTGTTATCCAGAGTACACTTTCCAAGTTTATAATTCAAATGATTGTCCCTATTTTCTAGAAGGTTTAAAAATCAAAGGAAAGCCAATATTAACAACCATGTTGTAATCCCTATTCCCTAGCATAAAGTTACTAGGCTTGACAAAGCACTTTTTATAACATTTTTATATGAGTTGGAGGTCTCATTAAAAAACCCCTTCATAATTGCCGAACACCAGGAAGGTATTCAGCAAGAAGCGGAAGGAGGAAAAGAGTACCTCGATTTTATTAATAAAAGGGTAATAAATCACCCCAAACTTACAAGCAGTAACCATTACACTCAACGATTCTTATTTGGACATAAAAATAA